ATAGATAGATAGATAGATAGATAGATAGATAGATAGATAGATAGATATAGAGAGAGAAAATAGACAGATGGTAGAGATAGATGGTAGTAAGTAGATAGAGATAGAGATGAATTGATAGAGGGATGATACAGATTGATAAGAGATGAGAGATGAGAGATTAGAGATAGATAGATAGATAGACAGACAGATAGATATAGACTGATGAGAGAGAGAGAGAGAGAGAGAGAGAGAATAGATAGATGGTAGAGATAGATGGTAGATGGTAGGTGAGTAGATAAAGATAGGTAGACAGAGATGAGAGATAGGTGATATATTTATAGAGAGAGAGAGAGAGAGAGAGATGGATGACAGAATAGATATAGATGAGATGATGAAGATAGCAGGTAGGTACTAAACAGGTAGATCAGAGATGGGAGAGGCGGGTTAGACAACAGAGAGAGACAGAGAGAGACAGAGACAATGTGCAATTTCCATCATCTCTGGGCCACCCAGTCAATCTTGATGAGGTGAGACTGGGGGCGGCTCCAGCCTCCGGCTTCACCTCCCTCCTGACCTGGTGAAGCGTCGTCCCAGTGCGTCCCCCGAGGCCCCAAGATCGGCGACCTACGCTGCTCTCCAAACTCCCCGTCCCCTTTGAAGAGCACAAGGCTGGGCAGGACCAGAGTCTCAAGCGCGGGGAGTGGCAGGTACCAACGACGACGCGATGGGAGCTGAAACCTGAGCCCGCCCAAGGCGTTGGTCTGTACCTCTTGCCTGGACAGCGTCATGGGCAACTTCTCCTCCGCCAGCTCCAGCTCCAGGACCGGGTTGGAAGACGACGCGGGGTTTTCGTCCTTTTCGGCCTCGTCGCTCACCTGCGTCGGGTTTGGGAACACGATATGACCCACAGCTTTCAATACGAACACACAACACAGATCTAACCATCTGTAGCTGGGCAGAGAAGCACAATTTCCGCAGGGCTCTCCAACCTTGGCAACTTGAAGTCCACAAGTCTTCAAGTTGCCAAGGTTGGAGACCTCCCTGCTCTAGAATGGCCAATAAAATGATTTAGTTAGCACTTCCGTTGTATTTAGGATTGCACCAAGCTAACTGGGTCAGGTACTGTGACTGGCACAAAGCCCATCCAGTTAAAAAGCAACACAGCTGCACCAACAACTTTAATCCTTGCTGGGAGGCAAACCCCTGCTTGCACAAACAAAGCTTGCTAGTCCAAAGATAACAACCAGCGACGGTTTCATTCAAGGAGGAAGTGAGGGCAGGAAGGCAAGCAGAGGAGGGGAAAGAGGCTGCCTAACCACGGAGTCCCTTTCGTGTTGCTTTATTCAAAAATTAAGGTACAGGTAGTCCTCCACTTACGATCGCAACTGAGCCCCAAATTTCGCTGCCGGCGAGCGAGACCTTTGTTAAAATGAGTTTTGCCCCGTGTTACGATCTTTCTTGCCGCGCAATCACAGCGGTGGTTAGCTCGGTTGTTAAGCGAATCTGGCTTCCCCCTTGGCTTGGCTTGTTGGAAGGTTCGCAAAAAAGGGGATCACGAGACACTGCAACCATCGTCGTGAGTCAGTTGCCAAGCGTCTGAATTTTGATCACAGGGCCAAGGGTGTCAGTTTCGGAAGCCCTATTGGCACCAGACGCTTCCACATTCTTGAGCCTGGGAAAATGGATGGGGGAAATTTCTTGGAGTGTTATGTGGTTAGACATAATAGCATTCTTTTTCTAACTCAAGGTCATGTTGTTTCGGCACCTGAGTGAGAGGACATCTCAAGTTGGGACAGATGGCGATTGGGGCATGTGTTTCCATGATGGGTGCAGGGGGTGGATTTGTAATTTTTTTTTACTTCTTGCAAGGAAACCCAGAACTTTCCGATTCGGGATTTCCCAGATGTGCCAATTTAGTACTCAAATAAAAAGAACCTTGGAGAGGATGTCTGCCTCAGAGTTATTTGCTGGAGTGGAGGTTTTCTGGAATGCTGACAATAGGGCTGCAACTGTCATTAAGAGTGAAAAATGGTCACAAATCACTTTTTTTCAGTGCTGTTTTAACATCTTAACGGTCACTAAATGAACTGTTGTTAAGTCGAGGACTCTCTGTATGGCACCGAGGCCGAAACAACTCCAGGTGCAAATAATACAACACCAACCCTTCCCAACTCAAAACCATCAGAGAATATGTCGAATGTGTGTTTAAGTGTTAGGCTAACGCAAAAGCTGGTACTACAATGACCATCATTCCCATTCTACTAATGGGAAATCCAAGCCCATTTTAAAAAAACTTCCAAAAGGCAAGGAGATGTTCAGGATATATAACGACGTTACAGATCACGTTAGGATGTCGCAATATAACATGCTCAACCTTGGAATGGGAAGGTGGCTATGAAAACAGTGGATTTTAAGCCCAAGGTGGAAAGAAAAGTTGCAAAATCCTCCCACCAGCTGGAGCTCGCAGCAAGCAATGCGTGTTTGCAAAAAACCACAAAATGTGTGGTTCCACTACTTTCTCTTTTGTAAGCCAATCAAGACATTTATAAGCTAAGGCAGTTATAAGCGAAGCAAAAGCATCTACAATGGTATAACATTATCAGGTCTTTGTGCACTGGGTAACAAAGGTGTGTCCAGGTGAGGAACTCTGCGTCATTCAGATAGGCTGCAACATCTCAATATATTTTTTTTTCTTCCAAACTGAACTCCAAGGACTAAACCATGATCAATTATTTGACTGTGTTGTAAATATTTGACCAAGATTCGTTTGTACTAAAATCAGATTTTATTATTAGCGATTTCTCTGTTCCTAAATGTAACAAAACAGCATCCATCTCTTCTACTCTTATTGCATTCCCTCAGAAGAAAAAATATTCCTTCCTGGATCACCTTTTCGCTGATGACGCCTTTAGCAGAGGAAATCCTTTAAAATGTTGTGGCATTAATGTTTGTGGCTCATTCTGGACCTTATCTTCCCTGTTGCTACCCTTAAAAGTTATCGTTCCACTTGATTTTGGGTTAACTGTTCTCCATCCTACTCAGATTATTTTTAACTACCCTCTGAAAGCTTCCTGGACAGAATGATATTTTTCCCCAAAAAATATCCAGCCATTTCTCATTTGCATGGAAATATTTTGTGACTGCATTTGGTATTTCGGTATCTTCTTTTCCCTGTGGAATTTCTAGCCACCGAATCCCATCCAAACTTCTTCCTGTATTTTTGGAGTCTGTCTATCATCTTTCTATTATCTATTTATATCTATCTATCATCTATTTATCTATCTTTATTATCTATCATCAATATCTGTCTGTCTATCTCTATCTATCTATCATCTGTCATTATCTATCCCTGTCTGTCTGTCTGTCTGTCTGTCTGCCTGCCTGCCTGCCTGCCTATCTATCTATCTATCTATCTATCTATCTATCTATCTATCTATCTATCTATCTATCTATTGTATCTATCTATTGTATCTATCTATCATCTATCTATCTATCTATCATCTATCTATCTATCTATCATCTATCTATCTATCTATCTATCTATCTATCTATCTATCTATCTATTTATCATCTATCTATCTATCTACTTTGCATACTTAACCAACCATCTCCATCGGAAAGGGACTCAGGACAACGTACAATTCAAATCAACAAAATTAAACAGTAAAAACAGAATAAATTCAGATCAAAAATTCTCCTAAAATCTGAAATATACAACTGTCCCAGATCAGTTTGGGTTGCTGCTGACTCGACAGCTGAATTGCCACAGATTCGA